CCAGATATAAACGATACGATGCTTTTCCACATATTTTTCATTGTATTTAATTTCTAATATTTAAACACATACCAACCAGCATACAACAGTGTATTTAACTAACAAATTGTTTTAGGACACCTGATCTGCAAATATTGGAAGATACTTCAGCATCTTTCCTTTCTCCATTTCAGAGAGTCCATTCATGCAATTTCACCCCTACCCTAACCCAAGCGAGTCAGTGATAAAAAGGTCTTCATCTAGATCAGAGTTTCTTCCATTTTTTTCCATTCACAATCCCTTTTCGCCCAAGAAATCTTTAGGTAACCCTGGTATATAAGTATATAAAATAGGTAAACAAATTAAACATTTACTAATAATAAATATTAAAGAAATTTATTTGAAAACAATTATTTGGTATACATCTAATTTTACCATTTATTAAAGATGAAAGCCAATTTGCATACTAACGAGATGGGTGTACTTGTTTATTTTTACATAAATAATTAAATCTTGGCTGAATATTTGACAGCATCCTCAACATTTTTCATGTCATGCTGGCATGCTTGGTTTGCAGCCCTAAGTGGAATATAATATATTATCTTGGCTCTTCTTTTTTTCATCTGAATTGGGGGACCACAATGGTGTGTTTTGGAGGTCTGTACCTCCAACTTAAATGACCCACATCCACCTCCCTCTTGTTCCCATCATGATTTCATAGAATCACAGAGTTGGAAGAGGCCGCAGGGGGCATTCAGTCTAACCTCCTGCTATGCAGAAACACCCATCAAAGCCCTCCTGGGAAATGGCCATCCAACTACTGTTTAAAAACTTCCAGAGAAGGTGGACTCCAAGGAACTATATTCCACTGTCAAACAGCTCTTACCTAACGTTGGGGTGGAATCTCTTTTCCTGCAGTTTTTGTCCATTGTTCTATGTTTTAGCTAGCTCCTCAATCTGACAACCTTTCAGATATTTGAACATGGCTATCATGTCCTCTCTGTTCACATCCATGCATGCAATCCATATAATTTCCTCCCCCAAAAGCAAATTGGTGGCATTTACCCTTTCCTTCCTGCAGAGGTTGCAGCCAATTTCTTATTGAACTTGTAATGGCAGATGACTGATGTTTTTTATTTCAGTTGGTCATGGTTTATGAACTCAACTTCGGTTTTGTGGCATGTGAAAGGAATTGTTTCCGAAACTGAAAAGAAAACCAGTAAAATCATCATTTGCTTTCCATATTTGTTGACAGATTTTAGTTAGCGCTAGAGTAGATTCTCTCTATGAAGCTTGAAGCAGCTATATTGGTATGCCATATGTTCTTAGTGATTTACTTTTCCCAAATGCTCACCTTGCTTCATATTCATATGGTTCTTGCTCAAAATAATATGTCACTCTTTAATCACTTTTTAGGGGTGTGCGAAATGAATTCCGTTCTGTTTTTGCCCCCCCCCCCCCCCAGATTTTCAGACTTCTGAATTATAAATCTGAAGGCCTCCCTTCTAATCTCCCAAAAAAGAACACGGGGCACCCAAAATTCACAATGGAAAACAAAATGAATTCACAAATCCCTAGCTTTTATGTAATTCTACAGTGCATTGCATAATCCTTTTATTTGTACTTTATCATGTAATGTATTCCCCTACTGGTCGTATCCTGTCTCCATTCTTGGTTGAAAAAAAATCCCTTTGAAAAAGCTTATAGATAAGTTGGAGAAGATTTAGAAAAGGGCAACAAAGTTGGATATGAGTTATGGAGAACAAAACAAATCAGATAAGAGTGAAGCTACCAAATGTGTTTAGTTTGGTGAAAAGAAGATGCAGAGGTGACATGATCATACTATTTAAATATCTCAAGGGCTATCACAGAGAGGAGGATGCAGACCTGTTCTCTGCTGCTCCAGTGGATAAGATCCGATCTAATGATTTTAGGTTACAGGAAAATAGATTGTGAACATTAGAAGGCATTTCTGGACAGTGATAACAGTTGGAAGTTGAAATTAATTACCTAGAGAGTAAGTGAGGTGTCTTTCTCTGGATGTCTCTTGTGGGGTTCTTTCACTGATCAGAGGGTTGGACTTGATGTCCTATGAGGCCATCGAGAGTTAGTTCTGTAATTCTTTGAAAGCTGCTGTATTAAAAAAGAAATAAAGGGCTATAATGACAATAGGCTACATGACTATTTATATTTATACTGTGGGTGCCATACATCTTTAGATGTTTTAGCTGATTTGCCACACTCGTATAGCAAGCAGCCCAGCTGTCTATAACTGTTTAGAATAAAAAGTCTATTAGGTGTAAAAGAGCAATACCTCGTATACTGTAATTTATAAATCCAAATGGTGATAATGGGATGACTGCAATTGCTCAGAATGGGGGATACGCCTCTTGGATATCTCACTCACGAGTATTTATATGCCAGATTGACAATATGGGAAATATTTTTGGCACAAAGAGTTTATTTACATTTATTGTGCTAAAACAAACTTCTATGTAATCTGTAAAGCTTTATTTGTAATAATAATAATAATAATAATAATAATAATAATAATCTTTATTTATACCCTGCTACCATCTCCCCAGGGGACTCGGTGTGACTTACATGAGGCTGAGCCCAGAATACAACATTACAAACAGTAACAACAACAATACTAAAATCAAAGAAGACAATAAAACAATAACATAAGCATTAACAATAGAACAACACACTTTAAAATCTATGGGTAGGCCAAATGTAATTAAAATTTAAAAATAATGCTGGACATGGGCGAAAAAGTGATGGGGCGGTTTGTGGAAACATACAAGCAGACCTAAAACAATATAAAGTGCTTTGGAGGACAAAGTGCTATGGAATCATTATTCTGGGAAGGCACACTGGAACAACCACGTCTTCAAGCTCCTCCTAAAGACTGCCAGAGTAGGGGCAGTCTTTATTTAGTACCTGTTCTTCAAAAACACGTTGCTAGAAACCTTGAATCAAGAAGTTCAGGATCTCTTACCCCAGCTGATTAAACAATATCTATAGGAGCCCTTGTTCTTGCTGCTTTGAGACTATCCACTTCCTCCTTTTGTGGTTGATAAATAAATTCTTTGATTGAAAGTTTAGGCTCTCTAGTGCTTTACGCATTTAGGTTGCAGGTGTTTTGGGCATATACGAATTCATTTTTTGTTTGTTATGTTTTGAAAGGGTGTGTAAAAGTAATCAATGTTGACTAGTACCTTGTCCATAATTTCTATAAGCTTTGTAATGATTTTAGTTGGCATTCTTGCCTCACCTTGACTCCAGACAGCTTTGCTTTTGCCTTCCGGACAAATAGCCATATGAAACCTGGTGAGAAAATATGAAAGTTATGAATAAATTATGCATAACTTTCTCCAGTATGTGAAGCTACATGTCACAAATAATTGGTGCCCTACAGGCATTCATCTCTTGCATGGTATGAATCAGAATTCCTTGTCTCCTCCATAGGTGTACTAAGATCAATTGTATTTTGTAGCATATTGAATGGTTACAACACAATGCTCAGAAACATGCTTTATCAATGATAATAGAAATTATTAAACCTCAGTCTAATGTTTGTCTTAGATTTTGCCTCAAGGGAGACCACCATGAAAGAACCTTTCTTCGGGGTATTTTACTTGCTAGTTTCAATGCAAAAAATAGTACCTGACTTTATGGAGATTTAAAAAATAGTTCTATTTTATATTTTACATTTTATAGAAGGGACACTTCTCAAGGTGTGACTAAACAACTTAAAAATTAACATAAGTATGAAATATATGCATAATAATAATCTATTGAAATAGATTAATATGCTGTTTAAAATAAAAATTGATTTTGTTTACATTTTAAAAATATACTATATCTACGTGTAAATCTGTAAATCCGGTGTAGGAATCTATTGGCAGAAGTTGTTTGACCCCCCCCCCCCCCCAATTTCACATCATTGGCAATCTTGGCTAGGACTCCTGGAATGTAGAGTCCCACAACATCTGACAGGTTGTATGGTTCCCATCCATGGTATACATGTCTACAGTATCTGTATCCACAGATTCTGCATCAAAGGGTGTAAGTAACAAATCATGGCTTGAATATATCCCTTCCCTGCACTACCAAAAATATAACTTTCGATTTTGCTATTTTATATAAGGTATGCCATTTTACTACACCACTGAAATAATGGGACTTGAGTATTCACAGATTTTGTTATCCACGGAGGTCCTAGAGCCAAACTCCAGTAGATATTGAGGGTCCACTGAACTTTGAAATGAGTACCACTAAACTTAGTAGAGCTTAGCTTTTGTTTAGACACAAGTAAGATTTCTCTGCACTTCTGCTTTCACTGATTAATTTTTCCATCTAAACACTAAAATGTTATCAGATTTCTGAAAATGTGTTGTTTTAAGACTAATGAAACCAATTCTGGATTCCTAATGGTTGTATTTATATGATTAAACATTTGCTCATGATTGTAATTCTACACATGGTTGTGTAATCTTCCTTCAGTGTGCAATTTGAAAAATAAGAGCAAAACGGCATAATCTGTTTATTTATTTATTTGCAATATTTATATACTGCCCTTCTCAACCCCAATATCTGTGAATTTGTTTTCTTTCACATGATATAAATTCTAAAGTGAATTGTTTTAATAGTATTATTGACATGGTTACTCTTAAGCTAACTGATAAAACAATATTTAAGAATAAATTTTGTATGTTAAGGATTTTGTATGTTAAAGAAATCAGTTTGGATTCTGATTTCATTGATGAGACCTGATGGATTTGTTATACTGATGTAGTGATGTATTGATATTGATGTTTAATGATTTGTGGTGCTATTGCTTTTAAATGCTTAATGATTTTGTATTGTGTATACCTAAATTGTTGTAAACCGCTCTGAGTCGCCTAAGGGCTGAGAAGAGCGGTATACAAATAAAGTAAATAAATAAATAATAAATAAATGTTATATATACATTAAATTACATTAAAACAAGCACATTCCTTAACTGTATCAAATAGTTGTAAGCCAGTGGGCAGTATACACGATCCGCAATCTTACTGAACAGAATGAGAGAAACCAAAAGCTGATTGCAGAGATGGAACAACAAGGACTTGCTGACAATTCTGTTCTTGAAAGCATGGGAATGAAAGTTGAACAGCATGATCAGAAGTTAATTTTGAAATCTATCAGAAAGACCCCTGATGAATAGCTAAAATGTCAAAGATATTCATCTGCTACAAAGTGTTCTTCTGTGTATACGATAAAACTTTCAGCCTGTCATCGGAAATCTATTGATTGAGAAATAAAGTCAAAATATGATATCCTGTTGGTGTCATCAAATGGAATCCAAGAGAGACTTCGACCAAGGAAACAAAAAGTGGGTCTTTATTCTTCTGACTTGTTTTTTCTTGTTTTGAAATCTCTTCCATTGGGTTGGGAGACACTGAAACAGCATGAGAGATGATGCAGTGGCAGCGGAGTGGCAGGGGATTACTCAAAACATCTCTCCCCAGTGTGCTGACAGAGTCTTAGCAATCAGTTGTGTGGTGCCAAAGGCATACAATCACAAAACAAATTACAATATTTCATTTCACAATAGTTGCATTTCTCCCTCTCTTTTCTCCATAAAAAAGTGTGTGTGGGGTGGGGTGTGGGTGGGGTGGGGGGTGGGTGGGTGGGGTGACTATTATGTGAGGAAAAAAAATCTGTCTTTGATTCTCCAGTTTCTGTTTTTTTAAATAATAATAATAATAATAATATAATAATAATAATAATAATAATAATACCCTTACCTCCAAAAGGGGAGGAGGAGGAGGAATGATCCAACCTCAGACAATTAGCTCTGTTTCCGTTTTGAACTGCATAGACATTTGGGGCTGATTCTCCCTTTTTTTGCTGAAGACAAGGTTATTTAAAAACTATAAAATGGAGGTTTCTAGAGCTTCATTCTTCCCTCCTTCCTCTAAGGCAAGGAGTTTACAAAATCTGAAATTGAGCTCTTTGGAAAAAGGAAGGAGAGAAGACCCAGAGACCTCAATTTCAGACTTTTGTAATTGCCTTGCCTCACCTCAGAGGAAGGAGGGAAGAATAGAGCCCCAGAGACCTCCGTTGATTGGTTGATTGGTTGATCGATTGCATTGTCTTCAGAGAAAGAAGGAAGGGAGAATCAGCCCAAATGGCTCTGTGACTATTATGGGAGGAACACAAAAATGCCAATTTTGCCACCCCAAAAATGAGGGTGCGACTATTACACAGTCATGACTATTATGCAATGGAATATGGTAATCCCTTGACCCTTTATGATAGTGCTAAGTGAAGTGGAGGTCCTAAATTATAAATCCGATAATGTTTCAGAGATTATGTTCGCATTATTTTGTTCCTTGGGTAAAAAATATATTGCATCTTCCGAACTAATTTGTAGCTACAGAGTCTGTCCTGCAGTCATTGCTCTCTATATTTTCTTCAGTGTAGGAGCAGGGAAGTAGAGAGTTGACCCTTCTGCCATCCCTTTTTCTTGTGAAAAGCATCACATCTGGAGAAAAAAATCCTCAATGTGATCAAGCGTCTAGAAAAACAGACATCTTGCTTGGATCAAAAGACTCTGTGGACAGGTAGTTTTCTGAAATGTTGCTTTCCATGTGGGGAAAATAACAGTGGAGCAGGATGGGGTTAGGTGTAATGCTCAAGAACAGTTTGTAGTACCTGAACTTATGTATTTATCAAATGCTATAAGAAAAGATGAAAGCGTGGCCCCACATTCTCCAGGTGTTACAGAAAAGAACTGGATATTCAACTGGCATTCAAAAAGGTGAGTTTTCCTTCGTAAGAATACTTGCTACCCCATCACACTTTTGGAGAGGGAACCCTTGGAAGCAGAGACAAAAGAAGCAGTGAGTCAGCAGTGAATGTTCAGTTGCCTCATTACGTGGGAACGCCCATCTTCTCAAGAATATGTTCTATGAAACATTTTATACATGTTTTCTATTATTCTAATTGAAATATGCCCTGATGTGTTTTAACCATTAGATTCTTATTGAGTATTAGATGATTGCCTATTGGAAAAAAACTGTCAAAATCTGTATGCATCATTAATACATTAAATAGAAACATGGACTTATGACAGCTCACACTCTTTTCTATAATTTACTTTTTGGGAATTACATGCCCAAACTACCATTATAGTAGATGTTGGATTGGTCGCTCCTAAGATTTGTCTCTTATTTCTAAATGGCATGAAGTTTATTTCATTTTTTTCTTTCCTTTGGTAAGTCAGCCTATGTTCCTAGTTATTTATGTATTTATTTTCCTTCTTCTTAGGGCTTTCTCTAACGTTCCGAGACTTAAGAAGCTGTTTCTCACTGTGATTAATTCTAGCAGTTTCTTTTCATGGTCTGTCTTTCCAAAACATTGACAAAACTCATTTCCACTTAATTAATTCAAGAGAGATGGAAGAATGGATTGCTTTGCCTCACTATTATGGTCGCTATTCTCTATTGTTGTTGAACTCTGCCACTCTAGAAAGTGGCCTGAATTGGATGGGTGGGAGAGAGACAGTAGTCAATTAACTCCCCGTGCCCCAGATTGGCTGTCTTGAAATCAAAAACAAAAATAATTACAATGGATTTATTCTTGATTTCATTATATGAACACTTCATTTGTCAAACTTCATCTCCTAAAACTGAGGCTTGATAAAAGTAAGATTATTCAGCCCTTCTGCTGTTCCTTTCCTCTTGGGCATGGCCCTAAACCTCTAACAGACAGTGACAGGCATATTTGAGCAAAATTGTCTTAAAGGTATACATGATCTGTTCCCGTTTAGCTTTTGATAGATCACAGTGAGGAGTGACCCTGGTTATATATAAAACTTTCCCAATATTATGTCAGCTATGAATGGTCTGAGGATTGAAAGAATGCAAAGGGTGGTATATACAGTTACAATTATGTGCTAAGTTTAATATATGAGGAGCTTGCTTTTTCTTCCTTGCATCAATACTTCCAATGAAGATTGGCTACTGGTGAAATATGCCCATCAATGAGAGATGAGCAGCACTAAATAGATATGAAAGAATTCAAGTCTTCTTGTATTTTTCCTCCCCTATCTGTTGAAAATACATAGTAGATAAAGCCTTCGTTTGTCCTAGAGGAGTTCTAAAGGGAAAACATTCAGCTTTCACTGAAGGAAAACATACTGTAAATTATGTTGGGAGCAGTTGGGTTTGATTTTTTTTTAGAAAAGATTGATTATCTCAGTACAACTTCTCCCCCATCTTCCTCCCTACCGGTGTACAGTCTTTCGCATGGTAGGCATCAACTGGTCATTAAAATATAGCTGAAAGGGAGGAAGGATGTGTTCAATTAGATTTATTGACAATCTCAATAGTTTCAAGAGTTTATAAACAAAATAATTAAATTTATTTCCATTTTAAAAGAAGATGACCTGGATTTCCATGATAATGGATTACTCCTAGTGTATCTCTGTTTTCATTTGAGACAGGAAGGTATGAGTACTCTGAAACTGAATTGCATACTGTGCCTTTTGTAGCACCTCCTTGCAGTGGAGTTTTGTATGTGTCATGTGAAGAAATCTTTTCAAGTGATACCTTCTTTCCAGCACATTATTATTTGTTTTATTACATCCAACACTCCCAAAGTACATTAAAATTTCTACTTTACAATTTTTAAAGTGCCCCAAACATTTGAATCAATTGAATCAGTTGTCAGATTCAATTCCTCCTCTAATTTGGTTGTTCTGACATGATTTTGAACTCTAAACAACACTGTTAATGTACATGAAAATATTTGAGATCAGCTCGAATTAGTTTAATATCAGAATTCCATAAAATACAAGTAATTAAAAAAAGCAATAAAATCAGATTATTAGTGCCACCCAAACTTCTAGTGAATATTGGAGAAACTAGTGAATACTGAGGAAAACAAATATTGCCTCAGATGTTGCTCCACATTGCAGCCCTATGGTATTAAATGGTATTAGAAAGGCACTACACTGGAATTACCTATGTACTTTGCTATAAGTTGTTTACAAAACAGTGACCAGATATTTGACTGTAGGGAAAAGATCTAACAATTTATTAGGAGTAAGATAGATGCTTTTGAACTGTGGTGTTGGAGGAAAGTTCTGAGAGTGCCTTGGACCGCCAGAAGATCCAACCAATCCATACTTCAGGAAATAAAGCCCGACTGGTCATTGGAGGGAAGGATAGTAGAGGCAAAGATGAAGTACTTTGGCCACATCATGAGAAGAAAGGAAAGCTTAGAGAAGACAATTATGCTGGGAAAAATGGATGGAAAAAGGAAGAGGGGCCAACCAAGGGCAAGATGGATGGATTCCTTGAAGTGACTGGATTGACCTTGAAGGAGCTGGGGGTGGTGACGGCCGACAGGGAGCTCTGGTGTGGGCTGGTCCATGAGGTCACGAAGAGTTGGAAACAACTGAACGAATGAACAACAACAACAAAGATACATGCCCAACCCTACATGTATGTTGGAAGAAGAACCATTGTGTGTTACAAAGTTTTAAGAAGTAAAATTCATCTAAAAAGTTAACTAGGCTTCATGGGGAGTGTTGTGTTGTTCATTGAGGGAGCATACTGAAGGGTAGCTACATAATATGCAAAAGGTTCATATTATTGTGAAAGTTACCAATGTAACATTAAACTCACAGTATTATTAAAAGGAAAATAAAAAGATACAATCATTTCCCTCCCTGTCTCCTTATTTTGTTTCTCCATATGCATTAAAGTTCGAACATTCCTCAAAGCAAGATCTTGTAGAATCATAGGATCAAAGAGTTGGAAGAGACCTCATGGGCCATCCAGTCCAACCCCCTGCCAAGAAGCAGGAATATTGCATTCAAAGCACCCCCGGCAGATGGTCATCCAGCCTCTGTTTAAAAGCTTCCAAAGAAGGAGCCTCCACCACACTCCGGGGCAGAGAGTTCCACTGCTGAACGGCTCTCACAGTCAGGAAGTTCTTCCTCATGTTCAGATGGAATCTCCTCTCTTGTACTTTGAAGCCATTGTTCCGCATCCTAGTCTCCAAGGAAGCAGAAAACAAGCTTGCTCCCTCCTCCCTGTGGCTTCCTCTCACATATTTATACATGGCTATCATATCTCCTCTCAGCCTTCTCTTCTTCAGGCTAAACATGCCCAGCTCTTTAAGCCGCTCCTCATAGGGCTTGTTCTCCAGACCCTTGATCATTTTAGTCGCCCTTTATTGTGAGAGCTGCTCCTATATTGTGCAAAACATCACTCACATGGTTCTACTGTTGTGGCTCATGTCAAAGTAAAAGAGAAACAATCCT